TAGAAACATTGCTTCAATCGCTTTATCAATTTAGTGCATGAAAAGTACCCACGGAAAAAGCTTCGTAGTACTGTCTCATCTGTACTTTTTTTTAATTAAATTATTCTTATGCAAAGATAGAAGAGTGATACTTAGTTTGTATAAAGAGCAACAGGCAGTTATAGAGCTGGGGCTTCAACGTAGAGAAGTAAATAATAGGAAGGGAGTCATACAGGGCTGCAAACTGTCACTGCTACTTTTTAATCTATACATCCAGGGCGTGATCAACATCATTAAAGACAGTACAGCTGTAGGTATAGATATATGAGGGCAAAAGATTAGAAGCACCGAGCGGCATGGCCTAGAGGTCTAGACCATTGCTTAGCATTCGGGAGGACGTCGGTTCGATTCCGGGTCCGTCTGCCTTGGTCCAAGTTTTTCTGTGGTTTCCTTGGATCACTTAGGCAAAAGCTGAGGCAGTAATATTCCACAGATAATTTTTCACTCTCTTCTGTCTTCATTTCGTCCATCTCATCTTTCTCACCCGAACCACCACCCACCCATTCACACGATTTCTAAAAGCAGGCTGAAGAGGGCCTTCCGCCCCACCTTCCGGCATAGTCCGGAGGGACTGCCCAGCATAACTGGCTGGTGGGAATGAAACAACCAAAAGTTTAAGTAAATTAGAGGCTTAGATTTGCAGATGATATAGCAGTATATTTGAATGTAACAAGGAGGAGTCAGAGATAGCTTTAGATAAAATGGAAGCGGTCTTGACAAAACAGTATTGTGAAAATAAATAAAAGTAAAACAAAAATACTGGTATGCAAAGAAAGACAAAGTAGAGAAAGAGCGAATATAAAGATAGGAGACGAAAAACTGGAACAAGTGGCCGATTTTAGGTATGTAGGAAGTCAGGACGGAAGGAATAGTAGGGATATAAAGCAAAGGATAGCCCAGGGTGTTAAAAGCGTATGTTTGCAACGGGACGCTGTACGGGTTCGAAACATGGACAGTGGGAGCGGCGGATAGAATAGGTCTAGTAAGAGACATGTTAAAGGCAGAAACGGATGTTAGGAGAGGTAGAGGTAGACCTAGACTAGCTTACTGTTCGCAAATAGTTAAGAATGTGGGATGTTCTAGTTTTACTGAAATACGAAGATTATCTCAAGATAGGAAAGAGTGGAGGTCCAACCGGTCTTAGTACTGACGACCTTATGATGATGCAAGTGTAGTGTAAACTCTACCCAGCCATTACATTGTGACCTTAAAATTGTCATAAATGAAACTTTTGACAAGGTTTGAAATTATGAAGTATTTGGTATAAAATATTACTTAAGTACCTATACATCTGAAAAATAAAAATGAAGTTGCAAGCTGCAATATACGATTCAGTAATTGTTAAGTTAGAATTTGATTTAATCCACAACCTTGTCCAAGTAAAAGGAACAACCGTTCATTGTAATGTGTAAACAGGGTGGTTTTAAGTGCTAATCCATATTTTTAAATTACATAGTTGTAAGTTTACGTTTTGATAATAAAGCAAAACATTTTAATGTAAAAGGTAAAATAAAACAGCATAGAAATTTTCATTAATTAAATAAAATTTCGAACAATTTCGGTTACACGACCATTTTCAAAGGTTAACAATAAATCTACACAAATGCGACAATCAAATCAAACTCAGTACCCAAAAACACCCCTAGTCCCTGATTTTAATGATTTTTCCTCAATTAATTTTTGAGATATATTATCAACAACTAATCTTGCAGATTTTTATATTAATGAACAAATAGAGATTTAACGTACAATAACAACCGGTAAACTTTGATCTTAAATTTGTTTAGAACACGTTTTACACAAATTTTTATGCAATTATTTATTATTCCGAAACAATGCCTCTTTTTTAACAACGTTTACTCCATTAACAGTGTTATTTTTAAACATTTTAAACTGTTCATCATCATAAGGTCATCAGTCCTAAGACTGGTTGGACACGCACTTCCACTCTTTCCTATTCTGAGCTAATATTTGCATTTCCACAAAACTAGAACTACCCACATCTTTAACTATTTGCGGACAGGTCTAATCTAACCTAGGTCTACCTCTACTTCTCCTACTTCTGGCTCTAATGTGTCTCTGACTAGACTTTCATGCTTAGGAAGATGTCCTACCAACCTATCTCGCCTATTTCCTATTGACTTCCATAGAGTTTTCTGTTCTCCTATTCTTTCTAATACCTCTTGATTTCTTACCTTCTTTATCCACGGCATCCTCATCGTTCGCCTGTAACACCACATTTATTTCAAACGCTTCTAACTGTTACAAAAATGAAATGTATGAAACGAAATATCTTAAATAATGGGAATTAAATTGTAAAAGTCTCCATTAAGCTTATTTTTTATTTAACATTTTCTCTCGCGTCTCATTATTAAGGTAATACATTTAGTGGCACATTTGCGAAAGTCTATTCGCGATTCTTTTTTGTTAATTTTTCAATTAAAAGTTTTAATTGCAGTCCATTAAGCACTCATACCTTTTGTTGTTAATTCCTAGAGACTACACTACAGGGAGATGTTAATCGATACTTCGTTAATTTAAAAAGAGGCGACTCAGTTTACTAATTACGTTTTATATTACTTTTAAATGCTTCCGTGATTAATTAACGTACCTGTATGTATAATTAATTTTAGCGACGACTTCTATAGATTTTGGATATAGGTAAGGTTATTACAGTTTCAACGCGGCCCTAACATCTCTAAAAACATGTTTCATTTGCTGACCGAGAATAAATGAGTACAGCCTTTCACGATTGCTATCAATTGTAGCCAGAAAAAGTAAATGGTGCATATGTTAGTTAAGAAAAAAATATTGAATTTTAATAAATCGTTTTCTATTTACGAACGTCTTGAATACTAAACAAAAGTAATGTAGGTAGTTTACATGGTTTTTGTCCTAGAAATGAAAAGTGCTGTTTCTTAACACTTGACGTGCACTAAATTTCAAAAACATTTTGACAAAAATCACGTTTCTTACAAAAAACCTCATCATCATAAGGTCGTCAGTCCTAGGACTGACTGGACACGCACCACCCTATACTAGAACATCCCATATCCTTAACCATTTGCGAACAGTAATCTAATGTATGTCTACTTTTACTCCTTTTAACTCCTGTTTCTGCCTTTACTACGTATCTGACTAGACCTTCATGCCTAAGAAGGTGTCCTACCAACCTATCTCGCCTATTTCTTATTGAATTCCATTGAGTCCCCTGTTCTCCTATTCTTTCTAATGCCTCTTCATTTCTAACCTTCTTTATCCACGGTATCCTCATCATTCGCCGGTAATACCACATTTTGAACGCTTCTAACCCTTTCTTTCCGCCGTGCCCACCATGCATGTTTCGCTCCCGTACAGCGCCGCGCTCCAAACATACATCTTTAACAATCTATTCCTAATTTCTAAATTAATCGTTCGCGAGCATAAAAGTGACTTCTTTTTATTGAAGGCTACTCGACCCTGCGCTATCCTCTGCTTTATATCCCTACTACTCCTTCAGTTCTGACTTATCTGAATACCAGTATTGTTGTTTTACTATAAAAATTAAAAAAAAAAATAAATAAAAATAGATTACCTCACCTTCTTTCATATTTGTTTGTATCTATCTCATATAATAAACCATTAATAATCATTCAACATTGCCTGCCCCTAATGCCCTCGATAATGATGCTCAAAAAATCTCAAAACCTGGTGGAAGCGCTCTCCATATTCGGCGTTGACGTGCCTGAGGTTTTCAGGGAAGAAATTAAGGTGCAAGTGAAGGATGAAATGAACATTTAGACATGTTGACACCCATTCGTTGAAAATTATGTAAGTAATCAGCAGTTAACTGCGGGTAATTTTATTTTTCTTTTTATCTAAGAAATTTCGGATGACTAGTCACAGTGAATTCCAAAGAGATCTTTCAGTATCCGAAAGACTGTTTGCAAATATAAATATCATCCTGTAACATTTTTTTGATTTGCTATTCTATAAAAACACCTTTCAGTTTCGCCTCAGAAAATTAGGAAAAACAGAACATAAAAGTTTTATGGCTACACTAATTTTGTCTAAAATCCTGTCAAAATTTTTCACCAATCCTTATTTTATGCAAAACGACGATAGAATATTTTTTTTTGTGGGGATATCAAACATTTATGTTTTACATTCAGTTTACTGATGATATATTCTTCTCTAACTAGTCAGTCTATCCTTTTATAATGATGTTATTTGGTTCTTGAATACTATAAACATACAAAACAATAACATTTTGTAAATAACAGTCATATGGGTTCCTTCATATCATTGGCATATTAAAATTCAAACATCTGTTTCCACCTACAGCCCAGTGAAGAAGAAAGAAAACCAAGTACCTAAGTGAGGAGCCTACTTTTTGTCTTGGTTCGACACAAAAGTAACAAAAAGGGTCAGGATGTACTTTACAGAGCCTTTTTAACATTTTGAAAACAAATATTTGTTATCTGAACACTACACTGCATCAAATTTTTACAATGAATTAAGAACCCAATTGTAAGTAGATAATCCGAAAATCAAATGTAATGATAACTTGAGTCTTTAGCATGATAATGATAAAACATAATAAGTTATGCAACTAAATAAAATAATATAAAATTCACCGGATAGTTTTCAATAAACTAGTGGAATTATCATATTTTAAAAATTCTTAACATGGTCAATTTCCTAGAAAATACCAACCCAAGAGAAGCATTTGTTTATTTTAATTTATAACGTTGCCGGTACGAGACCGTTGCATAAGATTTTTAATTCGATTCACGTAGAACAAAAATTCATGAATAATGTGTACAGTTTGGTGGCGTGGAATTGAGATGTGAATAAATGCGTTTTTCCACGTGAAGGAGCAAACAACACTCGCTATTAGTATTTTGCCGCTAGAGAGAATGAATTATGTATGTTCGAAGTTGCATTATGTAGAATCAAAAGACTAGAACAACTATAAGACAGGTAGATAGCGAGCGGTTAAGTTAAGACCTAAAAGTACACAGAATTCGCGCTCCACGCGGAGGATTCTTTACAAAGGCAGGGCAGGTGAAAGGATTACCGTATGAGATGAAATTCTGATACATTTCTCGAGCCTAGCAGTTTCACGGCACCGTTAGCTCAAGCACCAGTGACACTTTGAATCTTAGACCATTCAACATGTTCGCGCAGGTGTTACAGGTGAGTAAAAAACATGCCGTTTATTATTTTATTACGCAACGAATGCATTTACAAGTTCACTGCCGATTTTGCTTTTTACTAACTGGTGTAGGTCATGGATTGTAGCGTTTGTTTTTGTTGTGGGCCTTTCTACCAAAAAACAAAATGTCAAATCTTCAGTATTTTTTTACTATCAGGATTACAAATTCAATATTTTAGAAAGTCCGGTGATCGTTCGGATAAGTCTGGAGACACCGATTTAATAAATTTAAAAATTTACAAAAAAAAGTTTATTGGTTTTAGATAGTTAAAAAAATAATCAACCAGTAGATTAACTGAATTTATTTATTTAAACATTTTAAATAATTCAAACTCAAGTATTCAAAATAATAGCGTCCACCGGCTCACTCCATACTCTAGGTAGAGAATTAGTAGAGTAAGTACATTGTGTGTGACATTTAATGTTTTTCATATAAATTCGGAGATTATTTTTTACAAACTGGAGTTTGGAGAAAATTCAACTTTTCTGGAGTCTCCGGATGAAAACTCGAGGATTGGCAAGCCTATTTTTACGTACCTAAGTAAATAATTAAGTGGGTGGGTACTCTGTTTCCAATGAGTAATTGGAAGTGGAATTAAAAATTTTTACGTATAAGAATTGCAATAAATAATCTTAATAATTTCCAGTTTAAGACAAGTTTATTTATATTAATTAATTGCATATAATGTAAATTCAGTTACACTTAAATAAATGGTAGGTAGGATCGAACAGTTTAATTAATGATCGTGAATGTGGCACAACAAAGTAGTCAAGCTGAATTGGAAAATGTCAAAATCAGGACACTTTAGGGATTAATTTGGTTAAGGGTTGGCTATAGTAGGTTAGTTGGAGCAATTTAAACTAACCACAGCGTAACTTTCAAGATATTCATAACATTAAAAGAAAAAAATTAATCGGTAGAAAATCAATAAACATCAATTATAAAACGCTAATTTTTGAATTTGGCACTAAAAGGCAATTTTGAAACTCGTTTATTGTACCAGCTTCATGGATGTATATACCTATATCAAAAGGTAGAATGTTATGCTGCTTAAGGGCTTAGAATAGGTGCCAACATCTTCGATGAAAAAATCACTTCCCTTGTTTTTTTCACTCTTGATGATGGACTATGTCCGAAATATATGTCGAGTACCTATTAAATTTAGGGAAACATCTGAAATTTGTACTTTATTATATTTTTTGTATTGATTTCAATAATCATTAAGTTGATACCATTGTTTCATATTTATATTACTAGATATATGACCTTTAAGACACATTTAAAAATTCTGTACTGATAATGTTTTTATATTCTTTATAATGCTATGTTTGTTTGCTTTTTATTTTCTACTAAAAAAAGAAAGTTAATTTAAATAATTCTGTAAAATTCTCAACTTCTTCCAATTGAGTTTCTCAATTAGTAGCGTAAAAGTGACTAAAATTGAAGAGATATTCCAATTTTGTTATAATTCCTCGTAAGTTGTATATAATGAGAACCAAAATAATTTTATATAGATACAGAAATTCTGCCAATTCAGTAGCACAACAGAACGGCAAAAGTTTACGTAATTTATAATTTGCTTTTCAAGTTTTACTCTCTTCTGAAAACAAAC